AGAAGTGAATCATTTATTGCTTGCAAACCAATGATGGTAAGATGATGTTATGGGGTAGGACTGGATAAGTCTGACTTCTTCCTACTCCATTCAAGCATGTACTAGGTATAAGCAAATTGATATTGGATTATGTGTAAAATTATGTGTGTTGTCATATCAATTGTCTTTACATGCTTGAAAGAATAAATCAAATCAAATCAAATCAAATCAAACCTATTGATGCGATTAAATGGATGGACTGATGAATAGGTGGGTGGATGGATGAGAGCAGGTGGAAATTTAATGGTGAATGATGCTAAAGAGGAGCAAGAAAATGCTTAAGATAGAACAAAGGAAAAAAATAAAAAATCAAATTAAAGAATGTGACTAAAAAAGACACACGCACAAATAAAACACTAAAGTAATCACAGATATGAACACACACAGACGGGGCAAAGTCAGCATTACGCTTAAATCTGTCACTTTCTGGGGCAGACTACATTTCCCATCAGACTTTGTCTTGAATCTTTAGCATTTCAGTAGCCACAGGACTGTGTTTATTGTAGTCAGCTGCTTTGATTATCCTTGTATTCCTGGTGGCATAGTGAAATGATTTTGCCTTTGCTATCCCCAGCTATGCCCCTCAATCAACTGTCGCAGTGGTGTCGCTTGGAGGCCGACTGGCTGCTGCAATAGAACAGCTCTGTCACTTCTTATCTCCTATCATAAGCACAAAACTCATTTCTCTAAGGACTACATTTCACTCGCTCCGCCCTGAGTCCTGTAATCACAAACTGTGATCGCACTCAGTGACAAGAAATCACTTCATTCTGCAAGAAGACAGAAGGTTTTCGAAGGCCGGATGGCTGATCCTAGTTTGTGATTGTAGGATGGTGTTATCAGGACAACGCACCAATTCGTATATGAAAGCTCCCCCCTGAGTCCTGCAAACGACGAGCTCCCCACTATTATTCTCTTCAACAAGCTTCAATTTTCTTTCCTACCAAAATAAAGCTTAAAAAAGTCCTTGCTCTCTTCACTGATGGGTGTGCACTTTGTTGGAGTAGTAACAAATTACAGTTTACAGTCACTTAAAAATGAAAAGTTTTATCCTCTCACTTATTTATACAAAACAACTAAAAGCCAAAGTCACAGCAACAAATATCCGTTTAGTTTTAGAGAAACAATAACAGTGAGAAAAACAACAGTGTCCTCTGTTAGAACACCAAGATTGTCAGGAATCAGGTTAAGTTGGCGCTTTGGTTTCACACTCTGGATCCTGGCACCAGAGTTTCCGAGCACGTCAGCCGGTCACTCACCCATCACTCTGAGCCTCTCTGCGCCCACCACCACCTCCTTCTCGTCAGCAGAGAAGAGGAGCTTCCCAGAGGTGGATTTGACTTCAAACATCTTTCCTCGCGCTTTAAATCCCCTGGATCCTAAAGCGAACACAGAAAGAGAGGAGACATCAAAGAGGAACGACTGGTTTCTTACCTCAGTATCTGAAAATGTAAAATGCATCCAAGTGGAAGGTGTTCAAGGTGTCCCTGCAGGACTTGCTGACTTAAGTAAAAGAATACTCCACCTTTACAAGGAAATCTACGACTGACTGACACCTGTGCAATTGATTCTGTCACTCTCCATCTGGGATGTGAAGTTGCTCCCTGTACACCAACCCCACTTAACCAAACATGAGAATCATTTGAGCAGACTCCATCTTCCTTCTTTTCAGACCCAGAAGCCAAACCTTTTAACATGAGAGACACTTCCTGTGCATGTTTACATAAAGTGATTTCATTTACTGAAGACTGCCATCGCTACTGGAGGGTGACAGGAGGAGAAAAGGGAAATGTAAAGAACAAGGTGTGATCACAGAGTTAGGGGAGGATGACTGAGGCCACCGCTGGCACAAAGAAAGAGAACAGAGGAAGAATTTATGATGTGGTAATATTTAATCCTGGAAACGAGGTAATGACAGAGCAGTGTTTTCTAACCTGACAGTCGGGACTGCCCACAGCGTTCTCAGATAAATCTATGGAGTTTCAAAATTATTACACTTGGGGAAAAACTTTTTTTTTTTAAACACAAATATGATTATTTTCTCTTACTTTTGTCTACTCTATTATAATGTGGAATACTGGTATTTTACCTTGTGGGGTCTACAACAGCTGTTCAAATGAAACAACCTACAGAGGGAAAATCATGATCAGTAATTACAAAAACCCTGCAAAGCTTCATCAGACTTGTTCCAAGTCCAAAGAAAATGTGAAATATGTCCAAGGAGGACTTAAAGTGTATCCAAAAAGCAAAAATAAACGAATGACCAAGAAATCTCTTCCCTCACTAATGAAACATAAAAATATGCTGTGCATCTGTTGCAGCTGATGTCGTCAGTGTTGCCAGGTTTGATGTTGATGATGAAAACGTATCCTATACGAGAAGCAAACATCAATAAGCTACATGAAAGCAGGTGGTGTTTCTGTTGCTGCGTCTCACCTGTTACGAGTTGTGTGAGCAGCTGGTTGTTGCTGTTGACGATGTTGACCGACACGTTTCTGGACGACTGCAGGAACAGCGGGCGGCCCTGTGGGGAGACAGAGGGGGTGGTGTATTTAGTCAGTCATGCAATGGTTATTAAATTATGATGGTTTCAGTATAGACACTGGACATGCACCTGCACTTCAGTCAGTCCTCTCACACTAGAAAACAAACTGGCAACCTGACAGCAACAAGAGTGGCTCCAGTGTTGACTGAATTTGAGTGAATAGAAAAAAATGTGGGACCTTGGTGCAGTACATGCGGTACATGAAACAAGTGTTGCTTGTCTAGTGCATGTGCAGCTGGGGCCCTTACAGTGCACAGAGTCACATGGGAAGATGACAAAATGGTTGATGCGAGCTTGGCTTGGTCTTTACATGTAGAAAATCCTTAGCTGAAAGAAACCAGTGCTGGTTGCTGTAGGACAGGCCTCTTATATTAAACTCACGCCGCTACCATCCTGTTTTATTTTGGCATTTGCTGCTAACCGTTTCAGACAGAACACCTGACTGCCATGCTCCTGTGCTAACGTGAGGCTTACGTACGCTGAGCCAGCAAACAGTAGAGGAGCACATAAATACAGAGAAACATGTATACTAATGCACACCGTAACTGTCCGAGCGCAGAGACTTCAGCCTCCCACTCCGTTTGATCGCTCTCATTTCCCAGAGAGCCCTGCACCACCTGTAATGCCGATCACGTCGGACACTCTGCTCTTTCAGTGCTCAAGTAATCTTCATGCCTCAGTCAACTTCTTAATTAGAGATAACAGCCTGACCATTGTGCTGCACTCACAGCCAAGGAGGGGCCAGGCCTTGTGTGTATATTACTGATAACATTAAGGCTCTTTCCAAACTTACTGAAGTTCCTACAGTAAATACACACATGTGATATATACACACAAGAGGTTAATGCACTAACAATAATGTGGACTGAATGTAAAATTAAGTTTGGAAACAGACTACCAAGGGAGATCAGAGCAGCAAAGAGGAGCTACTCTGAAAAGCTGAAAAACCAGGTTTCATTCAACGAGCCCTCGTCTGTGTGGAGGAGCCTGAAAAACATCACTGGCTGACATCACTCTCCACAGCACCCAGCTGCCACACAGCAGAGTGTATGTGTTTAGCTTGCTGTTGTGTGGTGCCACTCATCCACTCCTCTTTTCATTACTAATGCAGCAGACAATACTGCTCCCAGCAGGAGGCCTTTCTACCAAAGAGGGATAGGAGAGAGGAGTAAGAGGACAGACTAGGAGAAAGACGTGGGCTGGAGTCGGTTAAAGAAATATTTCATAGGATCCGAGCTGCTCCAAAGGCTGCAAATGTCTCACAGGCTAAATTAAACTTCACTAAGTTGAGCCAACGGACCAATTCCTATGAGCGGTACACTGGCTCTTGTAGACACCCAGTCCACTCTTATTAAAATAAATCTATAGCTTACAGCCTGAGCTCGCTTTGTTCAAGAGCAGTGGGTAGTTTATGACGGTACATAGCTACAGGTAGTGACAGGTAGTACAAGTGTTGAATTGCATACAATTGTACAGATGTACCTAATAAAGTGGCCGGTGGGTGCATATGGTGCTACTGTATATAAACTAATCTGTGATGCTTTGCTTTCTGGGTCTGGAGCTTTTCTGTCACAACTTGAACCGGACAAACTCAAACAAAGGTTCAAAGACCAAAAAACACGAGAGAAGAGATACAGAGATAAATCTAAAGAGGAAAGAGACGGGAGATGCTGGACAATACACAGAGATCAGACTGCCATGATCTTAACAGAGGAATATCTGCAACACACCAGCTTTTTAAATGATTTTTTTCTCTGTACTTTCAATACTTGTCTGGCAGCACCAAGTGTTTTCATGTTAGGAGGAAAACGACAGCAACCGCCTTCAGCCTTCTACAATGTGCTAAATTTGCTATGTCTGTATTTATATTTTTGAATATGTAGATGAGAGATGTACATAAATTTCACACCAACAAAATTGGTCTAAACATAGTGCCAAATAAGAGCACTCGAGCTCTGCAGCCATCCATAGCTGCTTCTTGCAGTGTCTACTGAAACAGGGACTTCATCTTAATATGAATATTTTACCATGCCATAACATCACACTGCGAGCATGTTGTGCTAGTTTGAGTCGGTGTTGAACTTGGCCACCTCCTGTGCTTTGTCACCTGTCAAAATATGCTAGCTGGCTTCCCTGCTCTCTCGTTCTAATTCGGTCCCCCCTCATCAGTCTCCCTGGTTCAGTTTTTATTACTGCTGCTGCTTCCCTCTCATTCCTCATCTCCATTCCCATCCTCACTCTGCTTTCTTTCACTCTGCGCTCTTATCTCCATCTCTCATCCTCTCTCTCAGCTTTCTAAAGCATGCTGCCATCCGTCCACTCCCTGCACACAGCTAATATAACTGTCTGAGTAGAAGAGCCAGAGGGGGAGAGCGCCTATCACTTGTGCTCATCGCTCCACTTCTCTGACATCTCCAAGCCTGGACACTACTCCTGTACTGTGGTTGTTAGAAGGCCGACAGAAAGCCACTCAGAATGTTAATGTGTAAACAGGACACAGCAAGGGACCTCAGACAGACGCTGCATTTGGATCAGTAAACCCTGAGGATTTCCTGCGGGGAAACTGATGCTGAGGGCGTGGCTCTGTGCAGCACACTGGAGAAAGCACACTGACAGCAGCATGTGCTTTGTTTCCCCACTGAGACCATCTGGTCTGAAACAGGTGCACTGAAGGCGCCTGTCGTCATGTTGTGTCACCTTGTCTTGTTGTGATACAACATGACACATGATGTGTCAGGATGTCTTGAATCACCTGCTTTTGTCTTGTCTCGTCACAACAGAACATGACACCACGCGACGCACTGTGACAAGTCGCAGCGGAGCACGTCTTTGTTTTGTGTTGGCTTTATTTTTGTACTGAGATGACATGACACACAACGTACAACATAACTGAGTGCACCCTGGGGCGATATCACTAAAATGTTAGAGGGGCGGGTCTGTAAGATCTAGACTTACTAGTGGAAATGGGTTATAGTATGCATGTTTTCCTTTATAATCGCCAGAAAATAAGAATTGCTTTGTTTTCTTTAGCCTAGAACGAGCCTTTTATATCTACATAGGAGCAGGTCCCCCATCATGGAGGCTGCCATGTTGAGCAGCCATGTATCTCACAGTAGCCCAGAACAGACAAACCACACAGTGGCTCTAGAGTGTGAATTTTGCATTTTCAGGTTGCTTGGATTTGGAGACGCTCGGAAGATGAAGAAGTAACATCAGAAACAGAAGGAAGCACTGTCATGAGTTTAAGAACTATAATTATAGTTAAACTTTAACACCAGTAAAAGGAAGACAAAGTGAATCCCCATCATCAAAGAAGCAAAGACAGAAAAGAAACGGGACAGGGGACGGTACAGGAACCACAGCTTACTGGACACAGTGTATATTCTGTCTGACCTGGGAGAGGGTCAGGATCCCCCAGGAGGAATGGATGGAGAATACTCAGTTTCACACAATAACCCCATCCAAATATTTACAATAGCAGGAACTGAAAACAGAATCTGTGTTTGGGTGGTTTCAGAAAGCATCTGCAAACACTGTTGAAGCACCTAATAAAATCAATACAAGTTGCGACACGGGTGGAGCGGAACCACGTGTACTGTAATTTAATGGTTCCAGTTTGAGTCCTGTCTCATTGCTGTGTAGGATGTAGGCTTCACGGCGCAAATTCACACTGTCACAGTCACAGTCAGTAGACGAGTCTCTTCGCACCACAGCGCTCTGTCACCTCTTACTGTGAGTGTTGTCATTCACCCAGTGCGGCACCACGCAGCCTTTGTTCTGCAGCTGTGGCTCAGTGATAAATGGGAAGAAATATCGTTTTTATGAGCAAACATTTTACAAGTAACAAAGGAAGTTTTGCATCAATGTGGGAAATGGCATATGCCACTTACACACCTGTGCTGATTATTCCAGGACTCACATGGGGCTATCCTTGCAGAAAGGTCATGCTGGTCATTGTCATAGGTGCTGAGAGCTGCGAATGCTTAAAAAACCTTCTATTCTGTAAAATGTATTTTCAGTTCTAATGTGTGTCTGTCTCACACGAAAATAGGAGGATTGTGCAGATGCATACAAGCTGGCATTCTGTGAGTGACTTACTGGTTTGGACTGGATTTCTTTGGCATAGAGGGGTTGGAGGAACTCGGAGTCCCCCTCCAGTTTCAGACCCTTCTCTGTTATTCTGAGGTTGCCCATGCCGTCCTGTGAAGAACAAAGACACAGTCCCAGTTAGTTCATATTCTCCTGTTGTAAAAGCAGAGATGTAGAGTATCGACAGACTCACGGATGTAAACACCGCAACAACATGGATCTGCCTCTCTCTTCACTGTGCCCAAACATGATTACCATGACAATTACCCAACACGCTATCACACTGCATCATCACACAAACACTGGGTACCAGTTAATTTTTGTTTTTTAGTTTTAAAATAGGTTTCCAAAATATTTATGGTAGAACACCATATTCATCGCTGAGTTCTGCCAAGGTGTCATTATGGTTTTGTTGTGTTTAAATATAACTGCACAGGGATGGCTGATCACATAAACCACCTGCTGCAATGTGACCAGAGCTTTGGACTTGACGCACAATGATTAAAGGTGATATATGGCCCTTGAGTGCATCTTATTAAACATACATATTTCCATGAGCAAGGCTGCCCATTCACGCTCGTGCTCACCATACTAAATATACTGACGCTGTTAGGTGATTTTCTTCTGGAATAAACAATACACCTCTCTGATTCTATGAAAGACAGCTGCCACTTGTTAAACCACTCTGGCATCGTGTTGATCAATTAACCCTTGTGACCAGTTTCCCACTGTAGAATCACTCAGGGGTAGAATGTTGCTGTAAATATCACATTTGTGTTACAACAGCAAGAGCTGATCCATTTATTTAACCTCTGTAGCCACATTGTACGTTAGCTGAGCGTGGGTGCCCTTTTAGAGCAATGGCCTGTCAACAGTTACATAAAATAACAGGAGGAGAGCAGCAGCGGAAACAGAGCAGGACAACAAGGAGTCCATTAAAGCAGTCACAGGTCCCAGTGTCGTCTTCATGTGTTTCCTGCTAATACGGTGCCAAGCAGTGAACGTGAATTGCTGGATGTGTCCAACACCTGCGGTTTTATAACAAACACCTGTTATTTATCTGTGTGGGGGAAAAGTCAACTTAATAATCACACACACCTGTGTGGGGGAAAGTCAACTTAATAATCACACACACCTGACAGTGTGAGGAAATGTTACTGTGTTCACACTCACTCAGCAACAAACATTGATCACTGTCGACCATGTAAAGCCTCATTAAACTCTCTCTCACGTTGATCAGCTGCTCAAATCCCTTTAAATCTTTTATAATGCTGCAGCTGAAACTTGACTTCAGCACTGTATACAAACCAGTGGCAAACATGCCTCACACATTACATAGCGTACACAAACAGAGCCCAGGATCAAACTTATTTTTATTATTTTATTAACAGTGCGTTGTGTGCTCAGTGTATCGCAGTCGTCAGTGAAAACAGAGCTCAGACGTATCCTGTCATGCTAATTATGTGAGAAACATCTCCATATCAAAAGGAAGAACTTTGTGAATACGGTGTTTACATGTTTAAATTTTATAGTCTGAAGTAAAAGAAAATGAGTTTACACTGAGCAGAATCTGACCCAGTGGATCATTTAAACACAGCATAACACCAAATGCTTCTGCATGCTTTACAAGGTGGCAGCAGGTATAGAATATTATTTCATCAAACTGGGTGAATGAATTGGTGGAGCAGCAGCACAGAGGGTAGAACAGCGCAACTGTGACAATGACTGAAACCACAAACATCTCTTTACCTCCCAACATTCAGTTAAGGTATGAAACAGACATTTTCTTTCACCTATGTTGTTTTCTTATTGCTCATTTGTCCCAGTATATAAAACCACAATAAAACAGGAACATCCAGTCAGAGGTGTTGCAGCAGTGTCACAGATGCTTCCATTGTTGCAGTGTGCACCCGAACAGCAGCAGACCAAAGGATATTAAACAGCGATGAGACGAGTAGATTTGGAGAAAGGAGACTGGCTCAGAAGCTGCTTTGATTCAAACATGACTATCAAGGCCGACCCTTGACTTTCCAGCCTTTCATTATATATAAGATCACCCACTGGATCATTTCAGGATGAGAGATGTCAGTTTGATAGTACAGGAAAAGCCATCTATCTGCCCATGTGATCTCCTCCTGCACAGACTGTTTTCCTGCCATCTTTTGATCCCTGAGGTTCTGATGAGCAAATGGAGATCAAGACCCCTTGAAATCCCAAAGTAACCGAGGACGGTTTTCAAGCCTCCTCCATGTAATCCTTCCCCCACGGTGTAAAACATTAAAATTCTGGTACTGTTGTGGCAAGGAGGGCTGAGTCCCGGACGTGTTGTGGTTATGAATTATCCCCAGGTGGGAAATCAATAGCCGCATACCGATTATTATAAAGACGAACATCCAGGAACTACTTATTATAAGTCAGGCCACGATCTTTGTTTACACTTAACCAAGTAGTTTATGTGTGCAAAATTTGCATGCTCCATGTTTATTATTGTAACCATGACAACTATAGTCTGTAGCATGATGATGAATAAAAAAACACTTTCTTTGCTTATTGATTAAATAAATGCACTGATTGGATCCAAGAACCAGACTCTACACATGAGAAACAGCCCAGAGTCTGCTTAACTGTAGGAGGCATATTTTCCTTCCTTGGAGAGTCTCAGCAGAACGTTCTTAAATACAGGTTCTCTCAGACAGATTGATTTCTGTTAGAGGTAGATGTGAATACACTCAGTGAGTCCTCCCACTGGCCGGTTCATATCTCAGACTGGAAAATCGCTGAGGATGCAGCATAGCTGAAAAGTAATGCTTTGCTTCAGTCAGTATTGCTGCCTTTCCATTTCTCTCTGCGGAGAGAAGTCAAAACACACGCTTACAAAGAAGTGATTTTCAGAAACCTAGTTTATGTGGAGCCTGGAAATACAATATTAAACTGGTTCTACCTCACACAGCAGTACGAGTATGATAGCAGAATAATAAAAATCCATTAACTGAGACATTTAAGATTTTTCAATTGTAAGAGCACTCAGCTACAATGAGTGCAATTGTGGCCAGTGGATAATGGCAAAAAATTGAGGCTACACAATAGCTGGGTGGACTAAGATGCAAGTGAGGAAGATGTGGATGCAGCTGAGGAAATTGTGATGCACCCACAGAGTCCAAATCACTCCCTATTTATACCACTTCATTTGAATGTCAGTACTCTCAGCATGAAGGTTATTCTCTATATAGTGCCCTGAAAAAAATCCTGCAATCAAATAAGAAAGTAGTGTTCACAGGATGTACACTGCTTTCTACTAATAATCTCACAATGCTACTGCAAATATCACATACAACCTCTGTCAGTAATGACACAAAATGACGACGACTCAGAAGTATCCGAAATCCACAGAAAGGAAGTGTTCACTGTAACTGACTGAGGGTCCGGTGTGTGGGAAGTAGAGGGCGACAGACGGCCTGAGCTCGCCTGTTTCAGCACCACGGAGAGAGACACAGGAACAGACATGTCTCTGGACATGTAGATTATCTACATGCAGTGGCCTCGTGTACAGTATATTATGTGTATATATAGTGACATGCACATGACTTTCTGCTAACAATCCAACAGTGTCAAGTTTCACATTTTCCAGCTGTTAAAACCACTGCTGTGCAACTCACCTGTGTCCACCGTTGTTCCAAATTTACAGCTCACTAACTACATAGTGTCTTTTATAAAAATGAACGAGTGAACAAGGGAGTGATTTTTGACACAGCCTTGGTTTTTGACTGTTTCACAGCCAGACAGAGACTTGGCTTGACTATTACAGCACAATGGAGAGACATACGAAGCTGTGTGTATACTGTGTCTGATTCACAAAGACAGCAGCTCATTACGCAGTCAGCTCCTGGGCTGTGCCTGGTATCGGACCTCTAAGAGATCATAATGCAGTGATCTTGATTACTAAATATTTACACGAGCCATCTGAGAAAACCCATTATTCAAAAAATTACTTCCAAAATTGACTGATGTGAGCTCTGGAAATCCAACGGAATCCATTCACCTGTTGTCTCCTCCTATGTGCCCAGTCCTCCTTTAAATGCAAATGCAATACGGAGTGAGACACAGTGCAGACTGGCTAGTCCACGTCTGTTAAGAGTGATACTGTACATACAGCATGTGTGTTTGGGGCAGAGCGCGTCGCCTCTACGGCTGAAAAACAAGTACAAAACTCTCACTGAAACTGGGCCAGACCGTGTAACCAAAGAGAATTTACCCCACATCTCAGTGTCCTGCTCACTATGGAGTAAAGTACAGAGGGTCTAATAATCAGGGAGGGGTGAATAAATGAAGGAGGGAGTGATTTAGCTCTTAGCCTGGGTTTGAATGAGTCAGCACCCTCCAACTGCCAAATTAAGTAATGACAGTGAGTTCACAGTATATGCTTTCAATATTCGCAATGAAATGGAAGCTGCAGGCTCAGTACAAGTAAAAATAGAAGACAATGGGTGCAAGCACACCATTCATTTTGTTTAACTCAATCCAGCTGCATCCGTCAACCAAGTCATGAGCTTCATCTTACTATAAAACCTGCAGCTCGACTCGACTCAGAACACTGAGCACAGCTGCACTGATTGCAGCTTCTTTTCTAGACAAAATTTCTCCTTTCTCTTTTTATTCTCTGCAGTGAGTGTAGCGCTGCAGCCGGCACAGTGAAACCAGGCGAGCACTCATGAATAATTCAGGGAGGCTCTTACCAGGACAGAGGCCTCTGAACACTCAGGTGCCTTCTTACCTCTCTTCTCCTGCCCTTTACTCTTCTTCTTCCCTTCTCTTCACCCTCTGCCTTTCATCTTCTTAAAATCCTCCCCTTGTTCTGTCCCCTCGCTGGTCATCCTGTCTGCCAATTTGTCTCTTTTATTTTTCCTGTCTCTGTCTTTTTTTTACCCAGCCATCGCATTAATATTGAAAACAATTCAACAAGACTAAGACATTAAGACAAATACAACATGGTGGGGTCTGCTGATGTTTGACCTTTAGTCAAGCTACTAAACTATTAGCCAGGCACTTCTGTCATGAGCACAGCGTTTATAGCCCAAACATTTCACTGATGCCCTGATCTTTTCACTACCACC